TGCCAGACACCTCATTCTGTGCAAAAAACTAACAAATCGCTATCTTGGCAAACCCCACCTTTCTCAGAGAAATCAATCTGCAGCTGTTAGAGGTTGTTGAAGGACTGCAAGTACAATGTGTATCAGTTATTTGCTTGGGAAGTAATGCTGTTGCAGCAGCACAGGTTGGACCAAATTGCTGAGCTCTTTAAGCAGATAATGTGGCTCTGGCCGAAAGAAGAGGTTGCTTAGCAATTCCAGGACGGTTTACTTTAACCAATAAACTCTGTGGAGAGAAGAGCAAAAAACTGTATTCTGATCCTCACTCCTAGCCCAGCCTTGATGATTTCCCACTTCACCTGTCTTTACTTGCCCCATGGGCACAGGAAATCACAATTCTTTATTTCAGAAAAGTAGAAGAGAAAGTCGCATAGCAAAAATATCCACAGCACATCTAACCATTCACATGCACAGAAGAACTCTTGCATCAGGACATTCTGCCTTTCTCCTGTTCAAGTTGGTAGCAATGCACACCACAACCCGCATGGCTCAAGCAGCTTGACTATGGATTTGCAGCAACAAAGTGGACATAGACCCATCAAATGTAGGTTACTGCCAAAACTCTGGTAGATAGCAAGAACCTTTTATTTAAGGCTCAAAGTTGAAAAGATTTGTACCTTTCCTTTCCAGCAGTCTACCCACAGAATATCAACACTGACTGTGAATGGAATTATCCACATTTCCCAAAGGGTAGCACATAAAGCGATTTTTTCCTGCTGCCCTTTTGTGCCTTTGTTTTGCTGCTCATGTCAAGGACATGACATGGGAAAGGGAGGAGTAGACAGGATATGCTATATGAGCACAAGCACTGTTATTACTTTAACTTAGCATTTTCCAGTGGGAAACCACATTGGGGAGGGGAAGAGTCTCACAGGAAGCCTTTCATACAGTAAGTCAGGCTGGCTCCTGAACCTTTCCAAATACACTCCCATGATCACCTCCTATTCCATGACTGCCTTTAGTTACTACCTCAGTTGAATTCTTTTCAGAGGTTCCACTCTACCACTTCATGAACAAATGTTATTACTATTTTGCTCTATCATCAAATTCCTTACCACACCAGCTGTTTCCAGTCAAACCATTTCATGACATGAATTTATCATTATAAACAAAGACAAACGTAAGTTAATCCAAAGTAAACCAGAGAACTAAAAGCACATTGGCATCATTTACTATACTCACTGTATATAAATTATAGTAAGCACAGTCATATAAATGCATCATTTTTTTCCACATATCACTGCACAAATTCAAGCCAAGAGGCCACTAATACCTAAATATCCGTTACTCATCAGTGTCAGGAAGAAGATGCCAACATTGATGCAATGCTGCTAGAGTGCATCCCTTTTGGCATACCCACTATCTAAGAACCAGAAAGCTCTACAGAGAGCTTTTCAGTATCCTTATTGTATTGCTGTCAAATTAATGTTTCCTAATAATTTATCTACTGATGCCACATTCTGTAATCACGGAAAACTGTTACTTTCTGATTTCCTAAAAAGGGACAATATTCTCAGGTAGGTTTTTTTCTAACACACACCAGCAAAGGAACAAATTTCCACTAGGTTTTTCAGTATGGTTCTCACCAGTGCAAAGGCTTCTGTCCTAGTTTCATTATCCAAAATAGCAAGCAATAGGTAAATTACTTTTCTGCTTATTCCTGGAGTCACATTTAGGGGGTAGGGACAGGAAGGAACTACCCTTGTTCAAAAAAGTTTACTATTACATGTAAACAGCTGAGAAGGAAAGATGTCTCAAAGCCTAGTACAGAGTATCAGAGAGCCTTTTAGAGAAGATGTGCAGGCATACAATCATGCACAGTTTCTGAGATGAAGTCCTAAATAGCTATGAAGTGGAAAACATCCCATCATAAAAACTGTCTCAGAAGACAACAAGTTCTGGATTATTATTCCTCTGAAGCTCATACAGGCTGAACTCTCCATTGATATTCTACTAGGATTTTTACTTGGTTAAGAAAATTAAATCAGCAATGGAAAGGAAGTTAATGGTATCATGGTAAATTTTGCTACAAGCTGTCATATGCTTGCAATCTCCATAGACACACAGATTCAAGAAGTAATTTATCTGCCTGTTCCCACACTTCCAACTGTCACGTCTGACTCAGACACTAGTATGGCAGAAAAAGCAGGAACAAGAAGCTGAAATGACTGATACTTCTGCCAAAAGGCGTGAAGAAGCTGCGTGAAACACACAGAGGAAATGGAAGTCTACTTTGGTTGGTTGTCTTTTTAATCCAAGAAGTTTTCATTTAAGTTTAGGGTAGTGTTTTATTTTAGGATACACATCTTTCAGATTCAGATCTTTACAAATATCTAAACAGTTTTTATATTAACCACCCCTGCTTTTCCACTATCCCCCTCAAGGGTATATACATGTAAGTAATCTCATCTGGTTTAACCCCCCCAAAATGGGTACCACGTCTCTTTCTGCACTCTTGCAAAGATCTGTAGTTTTCCTAGCTCAGGACAACGAAGCTTTATCCTCTTAGTCATGGTGGCTGAAGGCATCACAGGCTCTTTTGCCATGGGTAACTACATAAACCCTCCCTCCATCTCGTAATCCATACAGGCCTGAAAAACAGGAAGCCTATTTAATGGAGTAGTACAGCTGAAGTAATGGGTGCTCAAGAGTGGAACTGATAAGCAGCTCGATAACAGACTAACAATTGAGATGTCTGTAGTCCAATGGACTAAGAGCCTTTGCAACGTACTTGCAGCACTGTACAATGAGGACATGCAGAACAGGACGTGTCCAGGTAATACTGTACAAACCAAATACATGGTGCTGGAAAGGACTGTCATTTGAGAGACTGTTTAGCTTTTGGATAAAAATCAATCAAAACAACAAAGTCTATTAAGTCTGCAAAACAGCATACAGTAGAAAGCACACAAGACACAAGGAATTAATTAAATGGAAAATACGAATTGGAATTTTGTTTACTGACCTCAATAAGGAGCACCATACTTGCTAGCTACCAGACATTCGCATACCTGAGCAGCAAATCCAGTAACCAAGTTACATGACTGAGCATGAGCAGGGCACAGTGGGGAAGGAGAAACTATCACTCTGTGCTTCCTTCAGCAGATCTTCCTTCAGCAGATCTTCCTTCAGCTGTGCTCCTGCTTCAGCAGATCTCTCCCTTTACTCTGACACCAAAGTTGTCCAAACCCACTCTCCAGTCAGACCACCTGAAAACTCACCTTTCTAATGACAAGCATTTCTGTATCAGCAAGTACTCTCAGTACCTAGCACTTTCCCAAAGGAACTATTTTATCCTTGAAATGGGATGCATGTCCTGCCTCTACACTGTGGTCACAGAGTAGTGCATTTGTGGAGGCTCTTAAGTCTACTCATTCTCCTTGCTTTCCTTCCTTAAATACCAGCAGTCAATGAAATCAGTTTCTCACAGCATTTTCATAAGTAAAGCTAACACTTTATATTTTGTTATTTAAAATGTTTGATGAAATTAAATATTATGCTGCCCAAAAGGTCACAATATTAGTTATCAATTATCACTATAACTGCAGCTACCACAACTTAGCAGTGCACTGCAGGATACACACCACACTTAGCTATTTTAAACCAAAACAGAAAGGGTGTCTTTCACTATACATTATACTTGCTTATACATGATTCTGCAACATGCATACATTTATACTTGGACACAGAATCACAGAATCATAGAATAGTTACGGTTGGAAAGGACCTTAAGATCATCAAGTTCCAACCCCCTCTTATGATACCCTCTCAAATTAATCTGGACAACTTGCTATAGCCTTCTAAAGAGTTGACAGATGGCTTGCATACCTTGCAGCCATTAAAATCTCATACTGTAACCCTCTCTGATCCTTCAAGATAAGCATACTCTTATCACATAGGAATTTGGAGAAAGTCTTCCTGAGGAACTTAAATACCACAGGAAAATATGCCTTTGACTGTGGAAGCAGCAGATTCATCCATGAGGATTTTGTCAATATTGCCCAAATCTGTCATTTTCTGCCATTTAGAAAATAGTCTTTCAGCTGTTGAAAACAGGATGCGCATCTCATGGGGAAAAAAAAACAAAAAAAAAAACAACCCCAAGCAAGTACTAAATCCTACCTGAACTAAATTCTAAGACTAAGAGCAAAAATTAAGCTTTGCAATGCTGTCACCAACAGTTAATGGTGGTACCTAGTGCTCATCACCTACAATTTTGACTGTACAGCCTAATAAAACAGTAAGTGGTATGTGCCAGACTTCCTCCTTAAAAGTATTAGCAGAAGGAGCAGCACGCCCACTCCAAAAGCTTCAGGATTTGAAGCATGATTTGAGCAAGTGTCTTACACATTGCGTAATCTGAGCTTACACAATGAATTTCTACAAAATACCCTCTTCGTCTAACTGTTCTCATCATTAACTGGAATAACTGAAAGCAGGAAAAGGGGAAAAAAAAAAACCAATCAAAATCCAACACCTAAAACAAACAACTTAGTACATTTGGGACATATGTTTGAAGTAAACCTCATACTTCTTTTAAATAACTTAATTATGTTTGGTAAATTCAACTTAACAGCATTTGGCAAATATTATGGCACTTCAGACAAAGCTTAGAACAATTATGACATTACTCAAACATCATGGATACTTAAATGTGTACAAACCCTTCAATTACAGTAGGCCAAAACTAATACACATGACTTCTGAACTTTCTTACAGCTTAAGTGGTGGACTGAATTTTTCTTTACCTGTTTAATTAAAGAATGTTTTTTCTGTCCTAGTACTAGTAAGTCTTTGAGAGGACAAAACCATGCTGTAGCCTGTTTATGTAAAGTGATATGACAAAACCCTTTTGTTAACTGCATTACTTAACCCTGATCGATTCCAAAAAGGTAAGTAACTTCACTCAAATGGCATTAACACTAACAAAAATTATTTAGTCAGTTAAAACATTGTCTTACCGTGTAAATCCCAATTCTACAAACAGCAAATGAGAGCTGGATACATTCAGACATAGTCTAAAGAAATTAAAATAGAGATATTACCAATAATGTTATTTACTACAAATTAGTTTTTTTCCCATCTTTCCCCTTTCCCCTGAAAGCACCACCTAAGGCTACATTTATTTTTCTTCTGTAAGTGTGTATTAAACAAGCTGAAAAAATTCCCATATAAATTCAGATTCTGCAGATACTTACTACCTTTCTATACAGAAGCAGCTGCCAACACCATTGTACTTCCTAATTCAGTATTTCACTACAGGCCTCAAACTACGTAATGCTCCCCAGAATGCTTGTATACAACATTAACATTTTGCATGCAAGCTTTCGGTTCCATTTATTTTTATCTACTTGGGTTTAAAAACGACCTGCAAAAGACATTTTAATAGGGTAATGTGCTTTTGGCTTCTTAGAGGACTGTAAAGAGCTTCCACGTTTAAATATTACCATTTTTCTCTCCTATCATCATTCAAATTCTCTTCCTCTATTTACCAAAATAACATGTATTATTTAATATCCCCACATTTCTGAAATCATACTCCTTTAGTTTTCTGAAACTTTTATGTTCAAAAGAAAGCTCTCTACTGTCCTGAATATTTAATCTGATCTTACAGCTGTGAATAAGCATATTAAAAGCTTTTACCCTCAACTTGCTCAACTTCCAATCTGTTGTGATTCCACAATTCTATGTCTTCTGCAGTCACACAGAGAGGCTGAGGATGGATTATGAATTTCTGATGAAACAGATGAAAAACACCTTCTTTAAATAGCACAAAGAAGCCAGAAAATAAATGCAGCTCCCCAACACCAAAATAAAGCCTACTGTAGGCTTGCCTTTTTTATATACAGTACAATAAACCAGGCTTACAATGATTTATTCAGATGAATGGAGGAATTACTTTAAATAAGGTATTTGAGAAGTCATTGTAGGCAAAAATTAAAGCAACCAAGTGGAATGTTTTTACTGCATGGTAACAGGTTCACACATCACCTATATTTTAAGATGTTGAAGGTGAACTGCTGGATGTTACAGACTTCAAATAGGATCAGTGAATTATTTTCCTTTTTTTTGGCCTCTGCTTTCTAACTTCCTCCCCTCAAAACCCTGCAACTGAAATACCCATTTAATTAGAATTGTGATTTAAAAGCTTAAAAGAGAAGTCATGAGAGCTAAACAAATGTGTAGCAACATTTTTCATTAGCTGAAACTGTTAAATTTTAAATGAGTAGTATTTCACTAAACTGTCTGAAAGTCAAAAAGCACAGCAAAAAAAACTGAAAGCGAACCTCAACAGCATGGTTGATTTTGTTTTCTTACTGGAAGTGATCTAGAATATTCTTACTGACAAGGAAATGCTGCTTCAAAGCACCATTTAAATTGCCAGGATGTATTCCTTTCAGCTTTCAGAACAAACATCCAATTCTACAACTTGTGCTCTAAGTTTGCCACAGAAAAAGAAAAAAAAAAGGCACAGAAAAACAGGAGTAGTACCGACTTCGAGAAATCCTAGGTTACACAAAGTGGTGGGGTGGGGTTATAAACCATACCCATACCCCTCCTGAGAGTATTTGCAGAGCTTGTTCCAAAGGTTCTAGGGATGGAATGACTTCTCTCAGCAATCTCGTCTAGTGCTTCATTACCCTCCCAACTAGAAAGTTTCCTAATGTTTAACCTGAGTCTGCTGCAATTTAAGCTCATACTGAAACACAGGGTGATACATACAGTGATTTGTATTTTCAGGATCCTGATATATTCTATGCTGATGGCAGACTCAACTTTATATATAAAGTAAAAGATTATTTTGGGTTGCAAGGGAAGTAAACATGCAGCAGCAGCAAAGCACTGCAATTTCTCAATGTATATAGTTTGCTTTTATTCTAGACTAGTACAGCATTATACATTTTTTTCCTTTTTTTAAGTTTTGCTCAGTACTTCCAGGCTATACATTCATGGAAGAATTTAGCTGCAGTTAAAATTCTCCAGCAAGCACCACTGGACCCTTGCTTCAGTAGAATAAAGCACATCTATGCTACCTTACTTATCTGTTGTTGGGTTCGTTAATGTTTTGAAACCAATAAGCTATTAGAAGGGATGAATACTAAAATTATTATCTCCCCTTCCTACTGCCACAAATAGTGCCATTGAATGATTCCCCTAATCATTTCCCAATGAAATATTAAGCTAATCCCTTCTCCAAGCCTCCGAGATGACGCTTATGATCTGCAGTCTGTGCCATTAAAAAAGCTCATTATTTCCAATGCTGTTATCAACTTCTCTCTTATATTCACCTCTTCTCCCCCCCAGAAAAAAAAGTGTACATTCCCCTCAATATTATTTCAGTTTAATCACTGAAAAAGCATCATGATTTGATTTAAATAATTAAATGCTTAGTGGTGCTGTCCTATAGAGTATCACTCTGCTCACTGAATTACAATGTATCTGATAATATGTTGCTACACTGGGAATTTATTCTTCATACTTTCATTACTTTGGTTTCGCATCTCATCCGGGACCATTCAATTGGGCAACAAAACAATTGTTGGAGAATTTTCATTTCGTTTACTTACAGTTCATTGTTGCTTTCTGAAAGGATTTTACATGGCAAGCATGAAAGTAAAAGAAAAAAAAAAATGTAAAAATATTCCTACAAATATTACAAAAGAAAGATACCTTTTTTATACAATTCTACAAACACTTAAGTCACTTAGTATGTCTAAAGTGAACATAAGAGTCATTAGGTCAAATAGGTCTAACAATATAAGCATGCATCTATGCCATTAGGTACGCTTCTTCTGAGGCAAAACCTCGCAAACATTATTTCTCCAGCTGGAAACTGAACTCACAGCTAACATACATATTTCCCCAAAACTCTGTTATTTCAATCATGTTTTAAAAACATGACTGCTCATAATGACCTAGAAAGATGTCTGCCTTGCAACTGTGCAACCTATCATTCACAAGTGTTTGTTCTGCCCATTTTTTCAAGCAGTCAGCTGTGAGTACAAACCAATTTCAGTATTAGGCATTTAAAAAAAAATAAAATCTGTCAGCTGACACAGGCACACACTAATACGCAACTGCACAAATTAATTGTTTTAATAGCTGTATCTTCACCAAATATTACCCTACCTGTAATATTTACAAGAGAGAAAGCTTTGAAGAGATTAATTAGAACACATTTCGCAACTGATCACTTCAAAGCTGCAATCACCAAGTTGAAAGCAGTACTCTCAAGAAACTTGGTGGGCAAAAGGGGAGGAGGGATCCTAATCAGCTTCTGGGAAGCGACACCTGACAGAACTGCAGGAGCTGGTATCCTCAACTCTGCCAATCAACAGAAATACTCACCTTGACCTCAGCTTGCTTTGCCACAATCCAAAATAAATTACAGTGCTAAGCATAGTCCCAAGACCACAAAGGCAGAAAGCAGTACATGAAAAGGAAGTTGTCTCTTTTTTTCCAGTGATATGTTTCTTCAGCAAAATAAAGATTAAGATGCCCTCCTGCTCATTTATAAAGTGGTCCACCACAGTAATCACTTGGAATTATCGGACCTTCGAGGCAAAAGCCTTTCCACTCCCATTTTTATCTGCATCTTTTCCAGTACATAAGAAATGTGAAAATTAGCAATAAAAATTTAAAGAATATGCAAATTTTATGGTACCTATACATATGGAGCCTGGAAGAAAAATACGCAGTGCTTGAGTTTTTCAGAACATGTAGGTACCCAAAAGCACACACAACTGTGCTATAGTACAGGTGGCAGGAACTTCAATCAGAACTATTGCTTGCTAAGCTTGTGGTGTACTCCAAGTAGTAACTCAAAGCCTTCTCTTTCTGCATAAGATGTTATTAATGGAATGTGTTAGAGGGCTGTGACATTTCTAATGTAAACTCCCTGAATTATTTTTTAATACAGCTGTCAGGGGTAAAAGACACAAAATATTTTCATATTCTCCTTCAATGTTGAATAATTAGATTTTTAAAATACCAACCTTCTTGTACATAATCATTAGAAAAAAGAAATCTGAGTTTAAAGACTAGAAGAAACTGGTGCTGATGGAAAGGCAATGATATGTGAACAGTAAGTAGGACCGGATCCAAGAATCTACTTGTCATCAGAAAAAGTAATGAAGTGGATGCACCAGAGAACAATGCTCTCCCCTCTTTTAGGCAATATTCTTACTAGAAAAGTTTTCCATGACTGCTTCCAGGACAGCAATGATTCAAAGAGTGAAAGACGCAGATTAGCCAACACAAAATAGCTGCAAGAACAGCATAGAGATTTCTCAAGAATTCTGGTCCTTTTTTCCTGTCCTGCTGAAACCTGAAATTAAGCAACTTTCTAGTCAAGAATAAAGCACTGAGAGATCACTCACTGTAGAGTGCATCATCACTCTGCATTCTACATAGGCTGCCAATTCAGTTTCAGGTTCACTCTGTGTTGTGGGCCTTACACATAAAGTTATAAATTGGTTAGGATATAAATGCTGGAAGGCCAGTAGCCTCTTGCTCATATGTCAAGGAAGCACCTCCAAGCAGAAGGAATCCTTCAGCTACATGTCCCTGGAGCACATTAAGTGTGTTCATAAATCCCTCTGAATTAAAAAGTCTCGCCTCCTGTGCAGTCAATGCAATTCTGCTTACACTGGGGAGCACTCCTGGAGCCAGTCCAGAATATCTCCATTTTCTAACTGTAATTTCCTGTACTGGAACTAGATCTAGCTGTCCCCTCGGTGAGGATGCATGGAGACATTTAGCATATAGCATAACTACCAGGGCATACAGGGAACCATATACCTCATGGACACATCCTCAGGTTCCAGAATCTCCACAAGCCTATCCTCACACCTGGACATCAAGTTTAATACCCCTTAGAAAAGACCTGCCTTACAAGAAACTACAAATTCACAATCTGCTTATTTTGGCTTCCCTAAGGTTAGTGCACAAATGAGATCCAGAATGCAACTATGCCCATGTGAAAAAAAAACAGTTCCTGGATTGTAACTGTCATCAAGTTCTTCTACTGGGAGAAATGACTTATTGCCTATTTACCCTCTCTTTATGATTTCAAAGATGTCTATAATATTGACTTCACACACCATTCAGCTGTCTCTTCTTCAGACTGAAGGGCTATTACTGTTTAATCCCTCCTTGTACGGAAGCAGTTGTTTTCTTTCAATTACTGTGTCATCCTTCTGTTTTTCTTTTTTGCTTCTACAATACTCCTTCCGAGATGATGCAACCAGAAATGGGTTTAAGACAACAGCAAACCTTACACATAAGCAGTGCAAAAATCAGATTTTTCCTTCTTTTTTGTTCCCAGTACTCTGCACTTGTTGACAGATGTCTGGGTTGAGATGACATTTTAAAAAAGGATCCTCTTTCCCTTTCCTGAGCACTCATGGTATTTTAGGGCCTATTCATTCATCTGTACTGCCATGCGACTTCTACTACAAATATATGCAACATTGCATTTATCAAAACTGAATTTCACCTGCCATTTTATTACCAGTATTAGAAGGGATACTATGACTTACTTTTTTTTTCCCAGGTTAAAGATGCATTCTTAATGTCTCTGCATCAGCCCATCCAAAGCATATACAGTTTATACAACTAAATACAAACATGAATTTCCCTTGTAATCTTTGCATTCTCTTGTCCCTTTTATTCACTGCCAAAGCAGGGCTATCAAATCTCATTTATGAAACTTACTACTGACAGTTTAAAGTATGATTACTTAATTTCTAACTGCTTCAAAGTTTTTTGTCTCTATTAGAGCCAAAATCACAGAAGACTAGGCAGTAGTTGCCATACAGGCTAACAAAACGTAGAAAACAGATGCTTCTTCCATCCAAAAGTTCCAAGTCATAAGAAGAAAGAAAAAAAAAAGAAGAAAATCTGCAAATTTATTTCCCCTATATGAACAGTTAGTGCTGGCTCCTGCATGCCATCCTGCTTCTCCCGACTCTCCAATGGCAACAGTTAATGTGGTCCTGTGAACAACTTTTCTTCCACAGACATACCAAAACATACGCCTTAAAAGCAAAGCATCACACAGTGATTCACGTTCTTCCTGCTGCTTGTCTTTATAGGCAGCAAAGCTAAAGGGCAGGACTGCATCTAAACATAGGAGGGCTTGTCAGCTAGACTTCCTGCTTTGTGTCTCCTCCTCAGATGGCAGGAAGCTACTTACATGCTCATGTTGGCAATTGATATAGTCACCTTACCAGGCTGTCAGTGAGACAAAAGTTCTGTACTCTGAAGAGCTACAGAATGAGATGGGTCAATCTCTTATTCAATTGCAAATACCCTATTTACATCCCCAAGGACTATTACACAGACAGCTGGCACCTGAGAAATTTTTGCTGCACACAGAGTGAAAAAAAAGCAAAGCCAACATACTCCAGAGTATTATAAGCCAAAACCCAAACAATCACAAGATTTTAAGTACTGCATATGGGGTTTTTTCCTTATGGCTTTTCAGCTGTTTGGACTCACATTTGTGCTTTTAAGTTTGAAACTAAAAATGCCTCTTTTGTTAATGGAAAGTTGATACCCTCATATAATCACAAAACTTCAGAACTCAGTTTAAGAGAATAAACATCACAAGCTGGCACTATTAAAAAACATGAGCTGATGATACTGACAACAAGCCAGAAATGGTAATCAGCATGGGGTATTAGGAGGAATATTCTGTCCTCCCTCATTAAAAGATTTAATTTCTAATCTTTTGTGAAAATCATCACCCTATTGCCTCAAGCTTGGAGGCCTAATTGAAGAATTTCAGGAGCAGCATACTGCAGAGCAACATGGCACCCAACACATATTGAACCTGGGACTAATTCACACAGACATTATAGGGATATTCATAACAAACAAAGACTAGCTCATTTTCAGAAACTGGCACATTTTTTGATGTAATGACATCTACCAGTCTAATGCAATCCTTACCATGCAAAAGGCAAAATGGCAAAGTAATTTGATTTTAAATGAGCTAATTCATTTGTTTCTTCAGTGCAGTTCTCATAGCAGCCTTCCAGTATCTGAAGGGGACCTATAGGGATGCTGGGGAGGGACTCTTCATTAGGGACTGTAGTGATAGGACAACAGGTAATGGGTTAAAACTTAAACAGGGGAAGTTTAGATTGGATATAAGGAGGAAATTCTTTCCTGATAGGGTGGTGAGGCACTGGAATAGGTTGCCCAGGGAGGTTGTGAATGCTCCATTCCTTGCAGTGTTCAAGGCCAGGCTGGACAGGGCCTTGAGTGATACAGTTTAGAACAGGGTGTCCCTGCCCATGGCAGGGGGGTTGGAACTTGATGATCTTAATGTCCTTTCCAACCTTAACTATTCTATGATTCTATGTACCTGAAGAATGAAATTTCTGTCACTGTGATACTGCTGTGACTTCACAGAATCTTGTGGTGAAAATCATATTAAGGCATTCTTCTGTGTTTCAAGGGAAGCTGTATCAAGTTTCACTGCTCATAACAGCCACCTTTGAATCAAAAGTTTAACTGGGGAATTCAGTAACTGCTCCTATTACAGGATGAGCAAATACAGCATTTGACTTTTATCTTCTGCAAAGGAATTGCACACTTCTGCTCACTGATCTACATTCTGCCAGGTAACTTCTAGTGAGTTAAGTCACCAGTATTTTTATTGCCCTTTCTGTATGGCTGATTACATCTTTCATCCAGCAACACTGTTTGCAATACTGGCTAGGTAGATTCTACAAAGGAGGAGCATTTGTTTTCCAAAGGACCTCTCTTCCAGGTCTTCAGCCGGATCAGGTTCTTGAATTCCCAAACTTACTTAAACAAGAAGCATGCTCATTCAGGTGAGGTCACCTCCCAGAACTGATTCCATTTGCCATTCCCAGTTGATTTAAATTTGAATGTTATGCTTTTTTGAGCTGAAATATCTACAGGAACCTAGTCACAACAACTTCTTTTGGTGAGGGTCTCTGAAATTGTTTTGAGTTTCTTCCTACATTACTATGCTGACACAGAAAGTAATCAGAAGCAGCAGCACTCTCACCTTCAGATTAAGTGAGCCTGGCTAGGTATACAGTACCATGTAATCCAGCATAGCAAAAGCTGGTGCTGAAGACCAAGTATTCATGCTATGTACTTCTGACTAGTTTTGATCTGGTCCTGTGGAGTGAAAACCTGTTAGCTGAGTGCTTCTTCCAGTGAGGTTTCAACTGAAGAAATCCCAAGTTCATGGGATCTGTGGTTACTCAGCAGTGCAAACCTACCTACGGCAAGGAGACTTAGATCTACTTCAAAAATTCACATCTGATCCAAACAGTAACACAGCTGCTTGCACCGTATACAGTAGCTGATCTTACACATCTCAGCTGTTTTCTTTCCTGCATTCAGCTACATCTTTACTTTGAAACAACTGCCAAACACCACATCCTTGTACCTAATCACTTCCCAAACCAAAAGAGGCATATTATCTTAATATGTAGGGCACTTGTGCCCTGCAGAAGGTGTAAACTTTCATGGATATTACAGCTAATAGATGAGCCGACAGCCCCAATAACCCTTATCATTATATGACAAAAGACTAAATCTATATCATGAGAGGAATGTTCAGCAAACGATAAAGAGGACAAGGCTATAAAGACTTTTGTTGCTCATGTTGCAGGTAATATATCAAAAAAAACTATCT